AATAAAAATAAGAGAGGGCAGGGATGGGGATATTTCAGTCTATCCAGATCTACTCACTAAGAAAGCAAATATCATATGTTTCACCTTCTAGACCTCTCTTTACTAACTCCTTTCTTATATTATAACAACATCAATAAAATAATTTTTAATTTAAAAGTTTATAATTGTTCTAATTGGTGAGATTCTGATTTCTGATGCAAAACATTAGACATTAGTGGAAGTCACCAGGTGACCCTTGGTATCCATGGTCTTTAGAAACGGGAAATTTTTTAGCTTAAACAAGTCCTCGAACAAATCAAATCTGAACTCTTTCCTAGAAAGCAAGATGACTAGACACAGACTGTTGTACGCTGTTCATATTATGAGAAGACCCAACTCACTAGAAAAGACAATAATGTTTCATAGGGCAGCTGGAAAAGAGGAGGATTGCATTCCAGATGGATAGACTCCATCAAGAAAGTCATGGCTGGCTCTGAGTCTTCAAGATCTGAACTGTTGAAAGGTTGACTGGGAAGTCTCTCATTCATAGGTTGCCACAAGCCAAAGTCTACTAAACAGCAGTTAGCAACAAGCACAATTACAACAATCGACAGTATTGATTATTTTGAGTATTGAGGGGGGGGGGGCAAAAAAAAAACCAACGAATGGAGGGTTGGTTAAAATAATTGAAAATTCATGCTTTAGAAAGAAAGAAAAAAAGCAATGGAAACAAGAAATCAGATATTATGAATCATTCTTTAATATTGCCAATAAAGGACAATTGACTCACTCTGAGAATTGCTCCACCCACTCAACATCTTTCACACACATGTTCACACACAGATCCTCTCACTCATCTCCACCTATGCATACAGTTCAGTGATCTAGAATCTCATAGCACCCATGGATAACTGTAAATCCTCATTATGCAACCAAAGAGAGCCTAGCTGTAGAAGGCCTGATAGAAATTAGTTTAGGATTGTCAGGCAGTATTTCGTTTTCTGCTCCTTCTCTCTCCTCTTCCTCCTCTTCCTCCTCTTCTTCCTCTTCTTCTTCTTCTTCTTCATCAGCATAGCTGGATGAGGCTGTGGTCCAGCTCCCGGAAGATGAAGAGATTGTGCTGTCCTTGTCAGACAAGGAAGCCACTTGTATCAAAACCCACTGGTGAGCCATCAGTCCAAAGAAACCTGCAGCAGAAAGACCCAAAGCAAGGGAGTGAAATGATCCAGCCTTGGGTTCGTTTACTTTGGGCAGAGGTAGAGATTTGGTGCTCTTCTGGATTTTGTTGGGTGACAACTCCCATTAGAAATAGTTTGTATGGCTAATGATGAGGAATGATGGGAAAATCTGGTCCCTGTTTTATAAGGGTTGTAAAGGACATAAGGCACTAATCTCTTATATTTCTCAGCATCATGCAGATTTGCATTAGAGACACAGGGGAATGAGGTGCAACTTTGGAGCCATATGTACCCCTCAAGGTACTCCCGTGCTTCTTAATTTATGGCTCCTCAAAGGGTCAAATGACTCTGGTAGGTAGGTAGATGGTTAGATTTGTTTATCGATTAGTCCTCTGACCATATCAAAAGTAAAAGTATACAAAGACACAAGTGCAGTTGACTCTTTTGGATAAGATCAAGTACAGTTGACTCTTTCAAAGAGATTGGAGAGCCTCTCTGCAGAGTTTAGCACAAAATGATATGTTTTTCAAAGTCAAAAGTTGACTTGTGGTCACTTCTAGATTTGTTTCGTTTTAATACCTTTTGGCATTTTTGACTATTTGCGCAGTCCTAGGGAAGCAAATTGTCCTCCAGATCTGCTATAGTTGCCCAGTGGTGTTCTAGTGTTCATTATAGTCTGCATCCTGGCATGGGGTTGCTGGGTGAAATAAAGGAAATAGCTCCTGTCCCGCTAACAGTAAAATTGAATAGGGACATTCAGCGGGTATTGCTCATCGAAGACCTGGTGAAATTCTGTCTTCTACATACTAACAAATGAGACAAGAATCTTGTCACTTATTTCATATGGTAACTCTATCCTAGGATCAAAATGACTAAGGCCCCTTCCACACAGCTGTATAAGATCCACGTTGAACTGAATTATATGGCAGTGTGGACTCATATGACCCAGTTCAAAGCAGATATTGTGGTATCTACCTTGATATTCTGGGTTATATGGCTGTGTGGAAGGACCCTAAGAAGCAGTAGGACACATGTGTGATGATGTGTAAGTTTTATTTCTGTGGTTATGTGTAGTTTGGACAGTGGTTTAGGGATGGTAAGTATGGGAGATTATGTTTTGTGGGGGATGGTGGCTTGGCGTTAGCTGAGTTGCCATAGCAACAGGGGCGGAGCCAACTGCCTCTTCAGGAGGCAGCTGTTTTAAAAAGCCAGTTGTAAGCCGGTGAGCTACAGGAAGGGACTGATTTCTCTAGTGGGAGAAACAGGGAATTAGTCAGTACGCCAGTGAGCTGCTGAGAGGACTGGGTCTCTGGGTGGAGATTCAGGGAATGTGTCTGTAGCCAGTGTGCTATAGGGAATTCTGTTAAAATAAGCCTTTTAGCTTATTTGTTATATTAGGGCAGTTGTCCAGAAGGGTTACATCTGCTTAAAGAAACTTCTTGAAGACTGTGCCTGAGATTACTCATGAAACATTACTATTGTAACCATCAAGATTTGTGCCTCTTGTGAAGAAACAGTTAAACTTATTATACTGCTGTTAAAATAAACTTGTTACTGTCTTCCTCAAGCCTTGCCTGATACAGTTTCTCCTAAGTTGAACAGCCTGCAATAGTAAAGTCAAGCCAGGAAAGTAAACGCTACGCTATCACTGAAACAAAGCCTTCTGTAATTCACAGTCCCTTTATAAGATAGCTCCTAGGTTGATATAGATCGTTGCCTGGCTTCCCTCATAGATTAGGTGGCAGTGGGTGTTTTACCACTCGCACCTTCACAATTGGTGGCAGCAGTTTAACCTCCTCTTTACAACATGGTATTTAAAAATCCTGGTCAAGATAGTAGGTAAACTGTTTAGTTAGGCATACTTAACTTAGTTAGGCATACTAAGCTGTTTCTTGGCCCGCAGCTGCTGTGTGCAAAAGAGGTCTATTTTCCTGCCAATTGGGGCACATAATAGTGACATTCCACCTCCCTCCTGCCAACAATATCCAGTGTGAGAATCAGAAACAGGATCCCAGTCCCAAATCCTTCTTGCACCAGAGATCATGGCTAGGAAGAGGTGTAGAAACATCAATATGATGCACTCTGGATTCCTGTGAGTTTTCCAGGCTGTATGGCCATGTTCCAGAAACATTCTCTCCTGATGTTTCACTCACATCTATGGCAGGCATCCTCATAGGTTATGAGGGGAATTCTAGACAGGAAACAATCAGGACCAGCTAACACCACCCAACAAAGGATTCCCCCCCCAGGCAGGAAGCAACCAGGCTTTGAAGGTGAAAGGCCATTAAATGCTAATCAAGCTGGCCAATTGCAATATTCACATTTGCCTCAAAAAGACAAGACATATTTCTCCCACCCCGGACATTCCACAGATATATAACCCCCACTTGCCTAGTTTCCAACAGACTGCACAACATCTGAGGATGCCTGCCCTAGATGTGGGTGAAATGTCAGGAGAGAATGCTTCTGGAACATGACCATACAGTATGGAAAATTCACAGCAACCCAGTCAATCCAACCTGAAAGCCTTTGACAACACAATGATGCACTCTGAATGTTTATTGTGGCTGTTGCCTGGTAAAGTAGAGTTGGGTTACTTTTACAATAATGGCAACAGTGCAGTGTTGACTTGGGCATTTTACAGGTTAAATGAAGAAAAGTTAAAACCATAATCCCAGCCAACAACAAATTATAGAGGAAGTCAGTCTGCTGAAGGATACCTTTGTACAGATTGAATATCTATTATTTGGACTTCTGAAATTCAAATAATTATTATTCTCATTGGTGGGTGAGGAAGTGACACTTTGGCTTCCTTATGGTTCAATGTATATAAACCTTGCCTCATTCACAAAATTATTTTTAAAAATATTGTGTATAAAAATATTGATATATGCCATATATATGTGGTATATATCAATTCCTTGTTTTGATTTGGGTCCCATCTTCAAAATATTTCATTATATTTATTCTAAAAACTGAAAAATCCACAATACAGAACACTTCTGGTCTCAAGAAATAGAACAATACCCAACTTGTATTGCTCTATTTGATTGTGTTTTAGTATAATAAGGCCATGGTGGTTGGGGATAGTGGGACATGTAGCTACATGTACCTGGAAGACACCAAGCTGGCTGTCTTTAGATAACTGGTCCCACCATTCTAAGCATCAAGTCAGCTGAAATATTCAGCATTCCACACGCAGTTGAATATCCACTCTACTCTAACAAGTTCTGGCCAAAATGGAAAGTGCCACCATCCCAGCAGATCCCAGGTGATAAACAACCTGTAACGTTTCTCCAGCTTACCACTTAAAATGAAGAGAGGGCAGCTCGTCCAGGCAAAGTAGAAAGTCCATTGGTATGTGACCTTCCCTGTTCTGCTGACTGCATGGGTGGAGATGCGGATGGTGTAAACACTCATAGCTAAAAACACCAAGGCAGCTGTGGAAAACACGAAGAGACTGTTAGTATGCATTTCCCAAAGAAGTTTGAGAGAGATGCCCCATTTACACTGCCAAATAATCCAGATTACAAAAGTAGATAATCCACATTATCTGCTTTGAACTGGATTATATGGGTCTCCACTGACATATAATCCAATTCAAAGCAGATAATTTGGATTTTATATGGCAGTGTAGAAGATACTTTGTTTCCCATTCTACCTCTAAATATAATGGAATCTATCCCAAAACAATAAACTAATTGTAATTTACTATCAGCTCCTGCATTTTATCACTGTCCCCTGCCCTATAGACTTGGCGTTCAAAATGCCAGATGACATTACCTGTCTAGACCTAACTATTATCACCTTTGGACTTCTTCACCAGCCCCCATCCTGAAACTGTTGCACAAGCTCCTAGCCCTCCAAGTTCAGTATTTATTACTGTTCAGGCTATGGATTGTTTTATGATGTTGTGTTATGTTACTATGATGCGTTTGTTTTTTCTGAATTATTTTATTGCTCTGTGTTTTAATCTATCTTTGTCTGGGTTCGTCCCCATGTAAGCTGCCCTGAGACCCTTCAGGGAGATGGAGGTGGGGTATAAAAAGGTAGTTGTTGTTGTTATTATTATTATTATTGTTATTATTAGCAAGTTGGTTTCTCATATCAATTTTCTGGGAGCTTCTCAGGCCCCTTCTACACTGCCATATAGAATCCAGGTTATCTGCTCTGAACTGGATTGTATGTCAGTGTAGATTCTTATTTATTTATTTATTTATTTATTTATTTATTTATTTATTTATTTATGTACAGTATTTATATTCCGCCCTTCTCACCCCACAGGGGGCTCAGGGTGGATTACAATGCATATATACATGGCAAACATTCAATGCCAATTAGACATACAACATATATAGACAGACACATAGGTAATTTAACATTCCAGCTTTTTCCAGCTTCATGAGGTTATGCTTGGTTCTGGCCACAAGGGGAGTTGCCGCTTCACCGTCCATTTGTGACATTGAGTCCTTTGATGGAGTACTTCCTCATTCTTCTGCACGCTGTTTCCAAGACAGTGTTCTTGCCCTAGAATTCCTCCACCTTGCCCAAGAACTGTTGAGATCTTGGATGATTCTGCTTCCAAGGCATCTGCTCAGCAGCCTTGCCAGCAGACTTGGGCAAAAGCAAACAGCTTCTTGTAGATTCAATAGCCTTTTTTGTAACATTTGCCATCTTGAGCCCCTTCTGATATTTCTTGGACCCCACCTACGTTATATCTCCTTTGATGATCTGGATTATATAGCAGTGTAGAAGGGTCTCAGTTTCACATATCATCTAGTTTAATCAGTGGTCCTATCATCTATTATCAATAACCCTGTCATCTAGTTTTATCAATAGTCTTGTTGATAAAGAGCCTCCTCCTCATCATCATTTTTGGTAGAAAGAATTGCAATTAAGGATGTATGTATAACAAATTTGTGATTGGTTCATTCTGTTAATTTCTAACTTGAAAGAAACAGCAAGTAATTTTAACTATTTTATTCTGCCTGTGAGAAAGTAATTGAAAACTGATGTTTCTGAAAGCTATTCACAGTTTAGCATTTATTCTGTACAGAACTCACACTTCATTATTGTATGCAAAAAAATGACAGGAATCGCATTAGACAGTTATGAATATACAACTACAGTTATCAATTTGCAATTACTTTGTCTTCATGACCCCCATGTAGTTTATTATTTAAGAGCTACATAGGAACCATGAAAGTCCCCTAAATTCCACTCAGTAGTAAGTAGCCGGTGGGTTTGGCAATGCTCCCTCCATCTGTCAACCAAGAAGCAACTGCCTAATGTTCCCACATCCCCTCGTTTGAACCATCTCCAACACAAGGGAGATTTGTATCAGGGGTCCTTTTTCTGCCTGTTGTACCAGAGATTTTGTTTTTGTTTTTGGAAAATAGCATTTTTTGTAAAGGAAATCATTTTCTGCTGAGAAAATACTGTTTCTTGCACCACTTTGTGAATAAATTTTGTACAAAACAGGAACCAACTTGTGGAACTTTTGTCAGTCCAAGATTCTCTTCATTAGGGTTTCCTGATATTTCAGAAATATGTTTTTCAATATTTCTAAAATATTTTAAAACATTCTGTCCATACCTAGTGGGGATGCAGCATAATAAGATCTGCATTTCTCCACTGTTCAGAGAGAAAGCCAGTTACAGGGCACTGGGGTAGAAAGCATTGTTGTTGTTGCTGTTGTAAAACATTTAGAACTTGCATCTCCATGTTTCTAAATTTCGCAAGCCCCTAGATCCTGCCTGATCTTGGAAGCATTGGTTAGTATTTGAGTGGCAGACTATTAATGAATACCGGGTGCTATATTTCAGAGGAAGAAATTGGCAAAACCACATTTGAGTATCACTTACTGTAAAAAAAAAAACCTTATGAAATTTGTGGTGTTGCTATAATTGCTATCGCCCTACTCAGAATGATTGGGGAGGGTGCTTTGCTCCCTTCCAATGAATAGAGAGTGGTAAAGTAGTCCTGGCCAGGACTTGAAAGGGACGGGGCCAGCACAGTTGCTTCCTCGCCCTGCTCTCCATTCTGAATTCACCTTCGACCCACCTTCCTGCCCTTTAACAGTGTACTTTATAGGGTCAATAATGGGGCCGGGTAGGCATCCCCCCATGTTCTAGGGTTTTTTCTCTCCTACTCTACACTGTTTGATCCATGGCAAATTGAGTGAATGGGCTTTAAACAGGTACTATGCAGAAAAACAGGGATAGGTTTACATCCCAGTGTGTGCCTAAGCTTTGTGGTATAGGCCATGATCGGGAACTCTCATCTGCGAGGCGAGGGTGAACAGTAGTGACCATGAGTGAGGAGAGTTCAAGTCCCAATATCCTATGAAATCCTATGGAACTCAATATCCTATGGTCACCCTGGAATCAATATTTTGTTGTAGCCGGGGATCATGGTGTCTTGCCCTTGATAAATGAGTAGTAGATCTTGGATGGCCACTGCCTCAGTTGCATTACACACCAATCCATGCCCTTAAATTGGTTGGCAGCTCACGTAGAAATTGGTTGGCAACATTTAATAAAAGTTACCCATAGTTTAACCCACACTGTTGTGTTGACTCATTATTTCATTGGTTGGGGAGCAAATTGACAAGTATCCTAAAGGCACATTTACAAACACAGATCTTCAGATAAAAGGGTCTGACTTAGTAAAATTTGATACATTATGTGAATCGAAGTGTGATATTTTTACCTGTGATAAAAGATCCCATTGCTGCAACCAGATACCGGTATATTGTAAAGCTTGAGGAATAGCGGTAGGTGAATGTCATAAAAGAAGCACCAACAAACCCAGAAAAAAGAGCCAGAACCAGCAGTGTTTTTGCACCTTGAACATTGGCTGTAGAAGAAAGCAATAAGAAGAAAAGTTGGTTTATTTATTACAGACTATGAGGTATTTCTTTCATGGACACGACTTGAAGACATGCAACAACAACTAGTACCAACCCACGTAGAGTTCCAGCTGAGAAACCATTAACATGTTCCCAAGAAAGAGGCCCTTTGGGCTCCATAGCTGTAAGACCCGTCGCAAACTAGCCTCCTGCGGGAGCAAACCTTGCCAGCACGTCCCTGACATCATGAGACTCCGCCTCTCGCCCTGCCCTTTTCTCCGCCTCTTTCTCCGTGCCAGAGTGGTTTTTCCTTTGCTAGGGCAGCATTGCCAGCGTACTCTCTCAGTTGGCAGAATTCAACTGAGAGAATACGCTGGTAATGCTGCCCTAGCAAAGGAAAAACCACTCTGGCACGGAGAAAGGGGCGGAGAAAGGGGCAGGGAGAGAGGCGCAGTCTCATGACATCAGGGTCGTGCTGGCAAGGTTTGCTCCCGTAGGAGCCTAGTTTGCGGCGGCTCTAAGGAAAGGAGACAGAGGTGTCTTACGTGACATGGGAATGATGTCATCGCACACTAGCTTTAAGCAAACTTTCCAAATGCCACTGTAGTAAGACTGCCTCTCTGTTTGGACTAAGATCCAGTGATGGTCCATGACGGTGAAAACAAGCAACAGGAGAGTGAAGATGGTGAATCCCGAAGCCAGAATTTCACTTCCCTCCATTGCTCAACTTGTAGTTTTCAGCCTCTCCTTCTGCTTAATGGAAGATCATTCTACAGAAGAGAAGAAATTGCAGTTTCTCTGGTAGGATTTCTTCCCAGTGCAAGAAGAACAACTTTTCTTGATGCCTGTGAAGTAGGAAGAGCTCACAACTGGATACCCCAGACTTCTCCTCTGGCCTTTCCTTCCATTCCAAGTTCCATTCTTTTCTTCTTAGTTGCTCTAACAACCATGGAACATTCTGAATCCATCCATCAGTATACTTTCAGACAATCTGGCCTGTTTTTTCCATGTGAGTTGACCTGTAAGTTGTGCTGAATCCTTTGACTGCAGTTCAGTAGTGTGGCAAGCAAATCAATCAATAAATAACTTGCAAAAATAGTTGGTTCTGTTGTGGTTCTATCTGTATTACTTTTCTTTCCATTGTTAATTTTTGTAAATGATAGAAAATCTTTTCATCAACATGAAAAGATTTTAAATATTTTCCTAATATTATACAATTCTATTATTGTTATCAGGATGCATGTTTTCATGGGCTTTGGGTCCTAGTTCTTGTGTAGATTTAAGTTGAAATGATAGGCTTTTGTGAGTTTGCTTTCCAATTTCTTGTGGTGGAGGCTCCTTCTTTGGAGGCTTTTAAACAGAGGGTAGATGGCCATCTGTCGGGGTGCTTTGAATGTGATTTTCCTAGATTGGACTGGATGGCCCATGAAGTCTCTTCCAACTCTATTATTCTATGATTCCTCGAAAAGACCAGCAAGAAGACATGTATACTCTGACTAAATAAGCCTTTAATAATAATAACAAAATATTCATAGATGACAGTTCTTTGAGGTATCTAAAATCAAGGTGAAAATGTGCACAACTCTGTCACAAGTGTGTAAGATAATGATATTATGATTTGCAAACATTATAACTGAGTCACTTGACTTAACAGGAAATGAGAAAAGTAACTATTCTTTTGAAAGACAGTGGACATGCCTAGTTAGGTTTCAAAGAGGCCATTCCACATCCCGCACCATTTTCATCATACTTTGCCTTTTCCTCAAAAATTTTCTTCAAATGACTATTGCAGTTTGTAGGGTCTTCTTTTCCAAAGAACTGACAAATGTTGGAGCGAAAATGTTAATCTACCCAAACACTTCCAAAATCAAAAGAACATGCAAGCTTTGTTTTCTGATAGAATAGATTCCATGTTCATTCTTTCATGCAACCATTGGCTCCATTTGTTTCCGATTCAGGTCATTATTGTGTTCTTTGAGTATCGCAACAGCTTTCTGAAGTTCTATAAACAATAACAGAAGCTCTGTGGGGAAAATGGAGGGAATAGAAATAAGCTGTTGGTAGATGTGGGGGGGGGGGGGGCCCTGCTAAGTGTTGCCAGATTTTCCAAATAGTGATAAGAGATACTCAAAAACCATGACATGCAGAATTGACATTATGGAAGTAGCCATTAACAAGTTTGTTTTCTACCTGAATACCAAATCAATGTATTGATTTCAGGTAACCCTGCCATTTGTTTCTCTGTAATATTTACAGGTTGTCCACATTCACTCATTATTTACATATATGTCTTTATGAAGAATCAATTTTCCATATACAAATTTTTCTTTGCTTTCCAATTTTATTCCTCAAATAAAGGTCATCCATTAAATTAAATTGCACCTGCCAAATACAAGTTTTCTGCTCCTTAGATAAGGGACATTCTTTATAATAAAGGGCACTCAACAATCCTCGCCCTGCCCATCCTTCTGGTGAAGTTGCTTTGAGCTATTCCATCAACTACATCTGTGATAATTAAATTAGCCTCCCATCTTACTCCTAAAAGGGACACATATCAAACCAACATCTCTTCCCAAATGTTGCAGTCTCTTTCATGAAAAATAAGATGGAAGTCTATTTCCAAGGAAAAAGAAAATAAAGGAAAACTGCCATTTCTTGATGCACTAGTCATCCGTAAACACAATCAATAATTGGGCACACAGTTTAAAGAAAACCTAAACACGTGGATAGACACCTACTCAGGGTTGTTGTCATTTTTTTGGGCTGTATGGCCATGTTCTAGAAGCATTCTCTCCATACTTTTCACCTGCATCTGTGGCAAGCATCTTCGGAGGTTGTGGATGGCCATCTGTCAGAGGTACTTTTATTGTGCTCTTCCTGCATGGCAGGGGGTTAGACTATATGACCCATGTGGTCTCTTCCAACTCTATGATTCTATGATTCTAAGATATGAGTCTGGGTTGCATGTTTTTATATGTTGAGCTGCTGCTGTAAATCATGCCGCAGAGCTCAATGGAGTGTTGCTACATGATGGCATTGTCAATAGGGCACTCAATTCACTCCAGATTTCTTTATGAACTGCAAAACAGATATGCATGATGCAGAGCCTATTTGGGGGGGGGGGGGAGAGAACAACCTTTTGGGTTTAACACGTTGGACAGAGCTTTTAAAGTTTGGATTCAACTTCAGAGCAGATTCACCACTCCACTGACCTTGGAGCCTTTAGTGCTGAGTAGTCTAATTTTCCATCTGCATATCTAAGATTTGCACATGAGTCTTTGCACATGAACATCTATTCCACTTCCCCCACTTTTCTCTTTGTTTTCTATTTTTCCTCCATTATTCTGCCTGGCAACCACCACAAATCCAAAGCATGGTGCATAGGGACCATGGCAATGCAATGAAGAAAAAAGCACTTACAATTCAAGAGGAACAGGAAGCAGGCAAAGCAGTCAAGGACAAAGGACCAAGAGATGTAAATTGGGTAAGGCATTGGAGGGATAGGGCTCCCTAATATGCTATTGGGTTTTACAGACAAACCATATAACAGCATAGTTAGTAGGGATAAGATTCCTGTGGATGGAGCAGAACAGTCCCATTTAACATCAACATTATTGGAAGGACTTATCATGCCTCTAAGTGAAAGAGAAAAGCATTGCCATGACCTTCAAATTTTCCCACCATACTGTATGGGAACTGCCAGAAGACCCTTGTCATCTCAAGAAGATAGTAGCCTGAGGCTTAGCTGTACATCTGTTCTCTAGCTCTCTCTGGACTGCTTGGAGATTTCACCATGTTAGCTTTGAAAAGGGTCTTTCTTGCCAGAATCATGCACTTTGTCCACTTTGTTCAGACCTTGAAGGATGGTCTTGGCATACAGTTGAGCGTAAACATTCCAGTTGCAAAATACAAGCACTTGAGTGATAGCCAAACGTGGCATCATGTCCAGCATATTTCAAAGTGTAAACAAAACTTACAAATGCTTTGAGCCAGAACCCAAGTTTGAGTTCAACACAAACCTGTAACCGAGGTGTCATGTATCCAGTGGCTACAGAAGAAGGGCTCCATGCTGCTGCTTTCCAGACTCCCAGCAGCTAATTGGGGTGTTGCTTTGCTTGGTATGAACCCTGCTTGCTGAGTAATAAATCTAAGAAGCCTTTTCATCCACAATCTGTGCCTGTTGTTGCTTCCAAATCCAGATACAGAACCTCCCTTGCATTTGGCAAGACACCGACTAACATTGAGGAAGCCTCCAATGAGAACATAGTCTTCACAACTTGCAGAAGTTGCCTTTCTGTCCTTCCTTAGGATATGTTTTTATTGTGCAGAATTCTAAAGTTGCAGTGTTTGCTGCTGTCTCAAACATCGCTTTTCCCATTTGCCTTTCCCCACCTCAGTTCAGCTTACCAATGGAAGTGACATCTGACCAAGTGAGTTCGAATTGTATTGCCGAAGGCTTTGGAATCACTGGGTTGTTGTAGATTTTTCAGGCTGTATGGCCATGTTCTAGAAGCATTCTCTCCTGATGTTTCATCTGCATCTATGGCAGGCATTCTCAGAGGTTGTGAGGTCTTCTAGAACATGGCTATACAACCCGAAAAACCTACAACAACCCTGAGCTAGAATTCATAAATTCTGAAGATAAGTAAAACCTAAGAGGCCAGTGCTGCCACAAGAGGTGCCTTCAGATCCAGCCAGGTTCCCAGAAAAAGTGAAACAGTCTGTAGAAATGGCCTTGCCAGAATGCAAAAGAATTCAATATCACTCTTAAGACAATCTTGCCTGCCCTCAGCTGGCAAAAAGCACTAGTTGCTCTCCATGGTCCTGACAAAGTCTTCCTTGCTCTGAAAGTATGTCTTTTGGCAGCATTACTTGTGAAGGTATTCCAGGATCGGAACTTTCCATAACTTGATGTAAAACTTGTCCATGCCATGTGGTTTTAGCAGTTTAGTGCAGTGAAGGTGAGTAGCTCCTTCATCAGTGAGGAACTTAATCTAATATCAATTTTAATATTTATTTATTTATTTATTTACAGTATTTACAGTAAATATTTATTTATTTATTTATTTATTTACAGTATTTATATTCCATCCTAAATCAATCAATCAATAAATCAATCAATCAATAATATTGGACTATTATCCTGGAGATCTTGAATCAATTCTCCATTCATCCATAGAAATCAATTGGGTGGCCTTGGGCATGCCATCATCTTTCAGGCTTTATCTACACTGTAGAATTAATGTAGGTTGACTTCACTGTAATTGCCATGGCTCAATGTTATGGAATCCTAGGAGTTTCAATTTGGTAAAAGAACTACACAGAAGGCTAAGGACCTTGCAAACCTACTGTTCCCATGATTCCATAGCATTGAGTCATGGCAATTACAGTGGAGTCAACCTCCATTAATTCTGCAATGTTTGTGAACTTTCAGTCTTAGAAGTAGGCTATGGTGAACCTCATCTACCACACTTCCCAATAGAACTGGGAATTTCTAAGTGCTTTGCAAAGAGGTTGCCATAGGATAGAATCTGTGACATCATTGAAAATATCACAATGGCGGCATAGAAACCATTCAGGGTTGTGTCTGCTGAATGAATAGTATGGAGAGAAGCAGGCTGCAAGGCCTTTTGTTTCCAGAAGTGGAAAGCTAGTGGTAACTGCAAAAAATATGGCCGTGCGTAAGATGTTCTTGTTTAATACAGAGATATAATTCTGTCTTGCTCCTGGTAAGGAGCAGAGCTGCGAAAGTTAAGCTTTGGAAAGTCATTCATCCTTATTACTCAGTTACTTGTTTATAATTCATGGCTTTTCTATTACTTGCTCATTACTTGCTAATTCTATTACTCATCTGCTCATGATTTTCCTATTATTTTTTGGGTTTTTTAAGAGAGAGAAAGAGAGAGATATTTAGGAAAGGTGGATGCTGATAGCTTCCTTGTCAGTGAAGCGATCAGCCTGCTCTGGGTTTTAGACTGAACATTAACTATGTTTTTCATTTTAAGGATAAAGTCTCACACTTTGAATAGCTTTCTTTGAAGTTGGAGTAAAACAGGTTCTCCACCCGACTGACATAAAAGTCACATTCCACCACTAAAAAAATAATTGGGATTGAAAAAGAAATGGCAGAAAACCTTTAAAAATCCTGTTGAAATGCCTTTAAGAATGAGTTTTAAAGCAGACTTGAAGCCATTACTTATTACACCATCGAATAAATTTGTCTGTTGCATGCCTTTGAAATGTGACTGGTATAAACTTCTTTCCTTCTTCCAAAAACAACTAAGGTAACTGTGTTCCAGACTTCTATCCAATAGTAATGACCAGTGGTAGTTAGTAGGCTTGTGCGTTTGATGCGGAAATACTCTTGATTTGTATCTAGTTCAGATTTTTAGCACTTTTGAAGTGAGTACTGACATGCCTGCCCCCCCCCCCCGCAATATTAAGAATTTGAATCAAAAAGAGCCTTTGATTCTTAAGCTTTGGATATGTTTGGATGTTGCTGTGACAGAGCTAAAATTCACAGGGCAACCAAACCCTGCTGAGAGGCGAAGCCAAACCTTAAAAATGTTGTTTTTAAAAACTTTGAAAATTCCCCCCCAAAAATCGATGAATGAGTGAAATGTTATGAAACTTGATAGACAACAAGTAGAAAATGTGTTCTATCATTGTAGCAAGTTTCACCCTGATAGCTTTAAAAATGACGGAGATAGCAGCCCGTAAACTTTCCACATTTTTAGTAATTTAAGCCATATGCCTGCGCAAGACTACATTTCACAAAATGTATTGGTTACAGCATTCGAGTCAATCTAAAATTCATAGGGCAACCAAACTGTTGGCATGCCTCTCAGCCAATCAGCAAGGGAGGGGGAGATTGCTATTGTAGTTCTGATAAAATTAAGAAAAGCATTATTACAAAGGTTGGGTGGCCATCTGTTGGGGTGATTTGATTGTGCTTGCATGGCAAAAGGGGGTTGGGCTGGATGGTCTTGGGGGCTTTCCACTGAAATATTGTTAAGTCTATGTTGGTTAAAATGGCAATAATAATAATAATAACAGAAACTTCAAGGGCCATCCACTCTTCTGCAGAGCCCCTCACTATCACCCATGGAGCCCCAGGGGCTCAGTGGACCACAGTCAGGGGCGGCTCAACCCATTACGCAAAGTAAGCATTTGCAGTATAGTTGATTTTGCCCAGGGGCACTCTTGGGGGAAAACAGACCTTGATATATGCGAGTTGTAGTTACTGGGATGTATAGTTCACCTACAATCAAAGACCATTCTGAACTCCACCAATGATGGAATTGAACCAAATATGGCACCAAAAAAAACCCTCCCATGACAAACAGAAAATATATATCAGTGATTGGTTGGGGGGCGCCAAAATACTGTTTGCTTACCATTGAAAATTACCTAGGGCCGCCTCTGACCACAGTCTAGCTAATATATTAAAAGTATAGTACAGCTTCATCTCCTCTTCCTCTGGACTCTAGGTTTCACTGGTTCAGCTTCAGCTTATTGCCCTTCGTCCAGACCATTTAAGCATCCAAGCAGTAGTCTAGCATCTGCACAGTCACATCTGACTCTGATGACAAGGAGAAGTGCTCAGTGTCAGCAAAATATTGATGGCGCCCCTCAAACATGATCTCCCACAGTGGCTTCATGTAGCCATAGTGAGATAAGGAAGTTCAACAGGGTGACATTTCCTATGTTTCCCCTTTAGTGAGTCCTCAGTCCATATGCCTCCAAATATAGAACTACCCTGAGTAATATTGTTAATTGTATGGCAATTAACAAAAATAACAAGGCCAGCTCCATGGCTGGTGGCAACTATTGGAATAAGATACCCTTAAGTAACCCTGCTCAGTCCATCACTTACTTCATTGAGTCTATTCCTTTATATTGTGGCCTATCTCTTTTCATATTGTCTTCCATGCCACCAAGCATTATTTTCTTCTCTGTCAGGTCATGCTTTCTCATGATACGCCCAGAGTGTGATAGTCTCAGATTAGGCTTCCAGGGTGAGTTCAAGCTTAATTTTTGCTTGAACTCATTTGTAGACATCTCCTCCAGAACCACATAAGTTGATTTCTTTCTGTCACTGTCCAACTTTCACAAACTTGTATTGAAAATGGAGACATGGACAATCCAAGAGAAGAGGAACTGGCCCTGTGTAGGAGGTAATAACCACAAAGATAGAATAACAGAGTCATCTATACATGAAATAAAATATCTAATGCTAGACTTTTATCTTTTCCCCAAGGTCTGCTCACCGAAATCCAAGAAGAATATCCACCGTGCCTTGTCCTCCATCAACTTTGTGATGATCCTAATTGCCACTGTAACTCCTCTTTTGCTGTGGTACCAGTTTCAGGATGGCTATTTCTTGAGGGGATTGTGGACCTTCTGCGATCGGTTTGGTTGTAATGAGATTTTTGACCCTGGGGGTGAGAGACATGCAGCTAGCTTACTTTCTCATCCTACTTCCAGGACAAAAAGTTGGCAAAGAATAATGCAGAGAGATTGCATGAATATACTACTATGTTCTACTATAACTGCCATGACAATGTTTTATGGAATCCTGGGCTTCGTAGTCTGGTGGAACACTAGATACAGGGAGCACAGGGAGCACACAACCCTCCTCCACTGGTTACCAGTCTGCTTCCAAGCACAATTCAAAGTGCTGGCTTTAGCCTATAAAGCCCTAAACCATTCTGGCCCAGCTTACCTGTCTGAACATATCTCCCTCTATGAACCATCTTAGAGATTAAGATAGTCCGGGGAGGCCC